ATATTTTAATAATAATTTATATAATTAAAATAATTTTTTTAATAAATTTAATTTTTATTACAATAATAATTTTTAATAAAAAATAATTTTTAAAAAAAAAATAATTTTTAAAAAAAAAACAATTTTTAAAAGAAAAATAATTTTTAAAAGAAAAATAATAATTATTTGGATAATAATTACTTAAAAAATAACATTACCTTTTTAATAAATAATATATATAAGAAATATAATACTCCGTTAAGGAATTGTTTTTCAAAACCACCCTTTGCCGCTATAATACCTACCTATATATAGCCCCATTATAATGTGATGGATGGTGAGTGTAACCACTGTTACACCATCTATGTAAAGCTACCTAACCTAAGGTAACCGATCATTAATAAAGTCGAGAAATATTAAACCGCTTAATTTCGTTGATTATTAAATCTCCCGCTTTCCGTCGAAGAACTTGACATTTGATATTCTTTGCCCTTTGAGGCAATATACGTCACAAAACTACTGTGCCATCGAAACTCAAGTAGATAGTCAAAATACGGACGCGCCACAAACCCCATATCATATATATATCAAGTCCTCAACAGCCAACGCCGTCGTTATATCATCATGGCACTAGGAAGATGGACGTTTCCTACCAGTAGGAAGCCTTCTTCTGCCAGTTCCGGCGGCAATCGCTCAAACGGCACTACGACACCAACCGACAACGAAAATCAAGATCCCTCAAAATCACAATCTCGCCTACTACGAACCCTGACCGGAGGCTTCAGATCCCACAAGTCTAAGAAGTCGGAAGAGCGCGACGAGTTTGCTCATCTGAACAAACCATTCACCCAACAGAATCTAGAACACCAGAAGATACTGAACACCTTCGAATGGAACTTTGGAAAGAGAAGGTCGAGTCACGGCGGTCGAAGTAGTACGAGCGGCATCAGCCCGAGTGCTTCGCGGAACACCAGTGTTGACCACAGCCACGTACCTCCGGACTCCGATCCAATAGAGACACGTCCTCGATTCAACAGTGTCTTAATCCAGGAGTCGTCTCGGGAGGACCCGCGAGGGGAGCAACAGACACATCGAACAGAGAGGAACTAGGCTTTTAATGGGAGTAGGCGAAACGGTTTGATGGGCTACGATAAGACGAATGTAATGATACCTGGACGGATTTATTCACTGGTTGGCGTTGAGGGATAAATAGACATTAGGAGGAAAGGTTGGAGGCATTGATTAACATGCGGTAATATGTACACATGGTGGTAAAAGTTATGAAGGCCTCAGAATTTTCAGTGTAAAATATAACTCATTGGAGATATCCTCATAGACTGTGTAAAATCGTTCATCATTGGCCATATACAGTTGAAAAAGAAAAAAAACTTGATATCAAGTCAAGTTCTGACTTGTCTTAACGAAATCTTGGAGTAGTCATTTCTGTCTGGTGGTTTGGAAATATCGACACTGCTTAGTGCGAGCATAACAGAATGTCCAAGTAAGAGATGATAGTTAAATGGTGTTGAGATTATGCGAATATCGTGAACCTCAGGTCTCCTACCCTGAATGAAGAATAGGTATGTACCTATCTAAGTCTGCTTGATAGTAGCCATCTCGAGTTTCGTGGATATACGGCGACCTTGGAGCATAGCATTAACATGCATTGCAGAGATGGTTGAGCATCAGAAGAATGTCACAATTCTGTAAAGTGGTTTCGAGAAAGAAGAAAAGTCCTCACGGTAAATTTTTTATGGTTTGAAGGCCAAGGCCCATAGTGGATTCCTTCCTATGGAAATGGTCCGTGCGGATATGACTCGGCCCTGGAAAAATCCGATAAAGGCGGGTACCAAATGCACAAATCGAATTCACCTAGCCCCGCCCATCCTTTTTTCGCCTGTACCCTAATTAAGCGAGCCTACCAGAAAAATCAAACCTTCGATTCCTTCTTCTATCAAACTCAAGATACACATCTGAACGACATCAAGGCAACAACCCAACAACACAGTTGCCCATCATGTCGCTCGTCTCAGGCGAGAAGACGAACTTCCAGTTCGTAAGTGAACCCCATTTAATTTACGCGCCTAGCCCTGCCCGTCTTTCTACCCGGATTGACAGCTACGCCAATGCTCAATTCAACCTTTGCACTACTTCGCGATAACGAGACCTAGTCTTGGCTAACTATAATATCAATAGATCTTGCGTCTCCTCAACACGAACGTCGATGGCAAGGAGAAGGTCATGTACGCCATGACCCGAATCAAGGGTGTTGGTCGACGATACTCCAACTTGGTCTGCAAGAAGGCCGATGTCGACCTGAACAAGCGGTATGGATAGCGCATGAACCAGACAATATAATACGAATCGAAGACTAACGGAATACCATTACAGTGCCGGTGAACTCACCTCCGAAGAGCTTGAGCGAATTGTCACTATCCTCCAAAACCCCACCCAGTACAAGATCCCCGCCTGGTTCCTTAACCGACAGCGCGATATCACCGATGGCAAGAGCTCGCAGATCCTGGCGAACGGTGTCGACTCCAAGCTCCGTGAAGATCTCGAGCGCCTAAAGAAGATCCGCGCTCACCGTGGTCTCCGACACTACTGGGGCCTCCGCGTCCGCGGTCAGCACACCAAGACTACCGGTCGTCGCGGCCGGACTGTCGGTGTCTCCAAGAAGAAGGGTGGTTAAGGGTCTTAGCGGTGGCAGCATGGTTTCATTGGTTCAGGTCATTCATTGCGGATGGACAGGCGTGAAGGCTGGACTGAAATTACTGCATCAAAACGTTTCTATGAATTACTTTGCGAATTGGGGACTTTGCTCATCGGTTTCGGCAAGTCATAGGTGTACTCTAGAGAATAAAGAGACATCATTGTGACCAACACTCTATAATTCTTCGATGTGTGAAAATATCACGTGTAATATGTCCGAGAATAAGTCGTTATGGTATCAAAGCCTCCCGAGTATCATATTTTTTTTCTATGCCATTACCAAGCCTATTCCTATGCCATGCTACCAAGACATCTCGCATGTTCGTCAACCTCATAATTCATGTGTTAGAAATATGACTCTAATCCTCATGAGTGACCGCCATATCTAAGACCTCCACTCGCCCTTGACCCTTGGTTTCATTCCCCACGAAATCGGATAGACCCTTGAAAGCGCCCGGCTCCACAAACCCGACAACCTCCCACTCCGACCCCATGACATCTTGTGTTTCGACCTGTTCAACGTAACTCAAGATCTTGTCCTTCACAGTCCCGGGGGCCTTTTGCTCTCCTTCCGCATCAGCAGCCTTGGGCGCCTTCACGGCCTGCTTCAAAACGTTCGTCGAGCATGTGATTCTGAGCCGCATGCGCGCTCTGGTAACTGGGATTGGCTGGTGCGCGATTAAAGCCTTCATGGCTTCGAGGGCCTGGCTCTTTGCGCTCTTCGTCGTGACCACGCCCGTCCAGTTATGCTCTTTCGTCCTTGGCTTTGCTTCCGCATCGTCGCCCGTGGCCGGTGTTCCCGCGCCGCTGCCTACTTCCGGGGTTTTCTTGTCGCCTTGCTGATGATGCGCCTGAGAGCTTAACATATCGAGCGCCTTCTCGATCATACCGGTTGTATAGACTCTCTTCGTGCGCGGGTCGACTAGTTTGCTCGCGACTATACTGACGACTTCATTGTGTACTCTGTCCAGCTGCGCCGAGCGCTCTTTCTCTCCCACTTGCAGCTCGCCCTTATTTAAAATCTCGAGGATGATATCGTTCAGAGGTTTGTCCTTTCCGAAGGCTTTGGTAAGATCTGCGGCTGGGGCGGTCTGCCCCTTCGATACGTTAAGGAAGACGTTGGGGATTTGTAGGACCTCGTCGAGGTCGGTCTCGATGCCGGATCGCCATTCTAATACTTTGTTCTTGTAGCAGGCGATTTCGAAGCGCTTCTTTCCTTTTTTTAGGCGGACGAGAGATACGTTCGTGAGCTTTATTTGATTCGACTGTTCCGTCCGGGTCTATTAGTATTTCCTTGCCTAGCTATAAATATATTTCGAGCGCCTCCGAGGACGTGGGGACGGCATGGAGGGGAAGAGGGGTCTAATTACATACTGTGATATGTTAGTTTTTGTCTGAGATATTATAACAACTAAAAAGAGATAGGTTTAGAGGTCAAAGTTTAGAAGATGTAAATATACTCTACATACCAGGTTGGTTTATGCGCGACATGTTGTCTCTTCGTTCTCAGAAAATGCTGAATGTTATTTTGCTGGATGCGCAAAGTCTGACGTCGCAAATGATATTCAGATGTCGAGTAGTTGAAAGATTTGTATAAGCGTAGTATTCGTTAAATCGAGATTTTGCGTGGAGTAATCCGTAGAAACACGTGCAATTGCTCGTGCGTTCGTGCTTACCGACTTGAAGGAGATATGCTTTTTTGGGCCAACGCATAGCGGGTCCCTTATGTAGACAAGGGAAGGACGCAGGAACAGCTCAGTTGACCGGGTGATTACAGGTACATACATCATATCTCTTAGATGGTATAACTATCGATTTATTCATTGGTTTTGACGAATAGGTGATTAGAATTCGTTCTCGGACGCGACAGTTACACTCCCAATCTTCAACTTAATTTGATAGAGGTCATGTTGAATCATAATGATAAGGAAAACATACATGTACCTACCCCATACGGTTTAGTGGAGAACCAATATCGATAGAGACTCGGTACATAGGAGAAGAATGACCGATGACGCTTATCGGTAAAGGTCCCTCCATCTATCACGCGACACGCAGCTTGATAAACCAGCCTGCTCAGTTGTCGTAATCTAATCCGGCATTAAGACAGGGCGAGCATGTTACCTGCTATCATTTGTGGGGCAATTTTCCGCACTCAACAAGTGGGAAAAGCGGCATGTAAGCAATAAGGGGAAACTTAGTTAAGGCACAGGAACGTTAATGGTTGGCTGGTTACCACATATATATACCTAGCGTAACTGACCACTGACCAGTCGGGTTCCCGTTCTCATCCCCGTTTCATCGTCCATCCATATCTCAGAGCTCCCCGGTCTCAACTCTGACTCTAGTATTTGTATCGTTTCCGTCTTCCATCCATTATTAACTCTTTTATCTATTCTTTTTCTTCTTTAATCCATCCATCATTACTATCATCAACCATCATAATCATCATCAAATTCTGGTAGTACGTTGTTCATCCTCGCTTGCTACCCATCATGAGAGTAGCTAGCTCGGCCCTTCTGCTGGGCGCCAGCACGGCTGCCTTCGCACAAGACCAACAGAAGGTCCTTGGTGGCATCAGCGATGCTGTCAAGAAGCCGCTGGATCACCTTAGCGAAGCTTTTGGTGAGATGCCAGATGTTGCTAAAGGCCTATGGGATGAAATGAGCCTCCTAGTTCCTGGATTCTACGAGAAGGCCGCCAACCTTGTCTCCTACCCCAAAGCTCATCGACGTCGCCCGGATAGCGAATGGGACCATGTTATCAAGGGCGCTGATGTGCAAGCCATGTGGGTCGAGACAGACGGTGTCAAACACCGAAAGGTAGGCGGTTCTCTCGAGGCCTACAACCTACGGGCTAAGAACGTCGACCCGTCCGAACTCGGCGTAGATAAGGTCAAACAGTACAGTGGATACCTTGATGACGAAGCTAACGACAAACATCTATTCTATTGTAAGTGGTACAGCACCCTACTCTGACTCGTATAGTCGCTAATCATCGTATCTAGGGTTCTTTGAATCTCGAAATAACCCCAAGACCGACCCTGTAGTACTATGGTTGAACGGCGGCCCTGGCTGCTCTTCCATGATGGGACTCTTCATGGAGCTGGGCCCGTCTAGTATCAACAAGGACGGCTCGCTCAAGTACAACGAGTACTCGTGGAACAGCAATGCCTCCGTCATTTTCATCGACCAACCCGTCAACACCGGCTACTCCTACAGTAGCAACCCTGTCTACAACACCGTCGCCGCAAGCAAGGACATCTACGCTCTGCTTACTCTCTTCTTCCACAACTTCCCCGAGTATAGTGAACAGCCATTCCACATTGCTGGAGAATCCTACGCCGGCCACTACATCCCCGTCTTTGCATCTGAGATTCTGTCGCACAAGAACCGCAACATCAACTTGCAAAGCATTGCCATCGGCAATGGTTTAACCGACCCCTTAACACAATATGCCCAATACCGCCCGATGGCCTGTGGTGAGGGTGGCTATGACGCAGTCCTCGACGAGAGCGAATGCCAGTCGATGGACAATGCTCTCCCGCGATGCCAGTCCCTCATCTCGAGCTGCTACGACTCCGAGAGCGTATGGTCGTGTGTTCCCAGCGCCATCTACTGTAACAACGCCATGATTGGCCCCTTCCAGCGCACCGGATACAATGTTTACGATATCCGTGAAAAGTGCAAGGACCAAGAGAACCTTTGCTACACTGAGACTGCTTGGATCAGCAAGTACCTAAACCAGGACAAGGTTCTCAAGGCCGTCGGTGCCGAAGTGCAAGACTACGAGAGCTGCAACACGGATATCAATAGGAACTTCTTGTTCCAGGGCGATTGGTCGAAGCCATTCCACCGCCTCGTTCCTGACATCATCAAGCAGATCCCAGTTCTTATCTATGCTGGTGACGCCGACTACATCTGCAACTGGCTCGGCAACAAGGCCTGGTCGGAGGCACTTGAGTGGCACGGCAAGAAGGGATTCAACTCTGCTAAGTTAGAGGATCTCTCTAAGGGCTCTGACAA